TTATTCAATATCCAGATTATAAGCATCCCATTTGTCAAAGAGCAGCTTCCTTATGGTGTTCAGGGTGCATCATAGTTGACTCTCCCTCACTCTTAAAGGGCACCCCTGTAAGACGGGCACCCCTTGCAAAGAACAACGAACTCTTAAGTGATGTTTTCTGTCCGTATGCCTGTGTTATTTTACACTCCTGTTTTTCGTACTTCTAATTTGCATGCGCTGGGCACCATACTGTTGTTGTTCATTAGTCAGAGGTTGACTTCTCGTAACTTAGTATTACAGTATATGTTTTATTTTCATCTGCTGACTAACAAGTTTGTCTCTTTCGTTGTTTATTTTTAGTGGAATTACGTTCCAGGACCCAGCAATCATTATACATTGTGTAGTTCGTTTCTCCAAGAACTGAAAAATTGGTTACGAAGTCCACTAATTGATGTTCACAGCATTGATAGAGTGAGCGTTTCCGTCAAATACACAATAACTTCCTTTTGTTCCCGTCCAACATCCAACCCGTTTTGCACTGAAAATATTGGAGTCTATGTATGGGAATCCAATTTTAAGGTCACATCTGATTTGATACCGGACCCCCTGACAAGCAACAGTTCCTACAGAGAATTTGCTACTATCCGCGGTCAGGCTAGCGGCCAAACCATCTCTTTAGCACTTCAGCTAAAAAAGAGATATATTGTTCTTGGATTTCTCGATCAAGGTGGCTGCAAAATTTTGTCTTCCGTCAGGATTACTTATAACATTTGTCCCGAAACAACACTCCGCGACAGTTTGGTCAAATTGCGGGAAACAGTAGCCCCAACAAGTATCTTTGAGTCCATCCTAGTGGGAGGAACATGTACTGCAGACTCTTTCCATGTTCAAGGAAGTTTGAATGTTACGTGTGAAAGCAGTGGTCAGTGGAATGTCAGTCAGTTTGAAGGGAAATGCGTCTGCAAGGAAGACATGGAAAATGTGGGAGGGACATGTACAGGTATGTTTGGAAATCAATACGATCATTATAATTCTCTTTAAGGCTGGTTTTACCTTCTATTAGCGGATGGACAGATGCTTGTTAATGACATTTTTATCACCAATATACCAATATTCAATGGATTCTTTACTATTGATAAATGGGCAAAACTCGATCTTTCAGCAATTATCACTACGTGGTAAATTGAAGCTTTCACTCAAGAAGAGCGGAAAATTAAAAACAAAGAAAAAGTGTACAAAGTTTGTATAAAGGGCACTTTTCTTACCAAGCTACTTTACAGGTACTCCATTTAAATGCTGTAGTTAAAAACAACAATTGAAAAGAAAGAAAAAAGAAGCTGTCAGAAGGCAACCCGTTGGTTATTTACAAAAGTGACCGAGGATGTACCCTCGAGACGACAGATTCTAACTAAACCTGTAAGTGCCCAGAGAGGGACTCTTATCAGGAAACTCCGGACTGCGAGTCCGACGCACTGACCACTGGGTGACGCTGCCTTCTACCGTTACCCAACTGTGTGACTATGAAGTTAAAAGACTGTTATAACATAACAAAAGTAAATCGCGCGCTCTGATTGGTCAGTTAGCCACTACCATTTGCCATTGGGTGCACGCCAAGAAACTGAGCTAACGCGGTCAAATTTAGGCAAATTCAACAAATCTCCTCTCCTGACGGTAAAGGACACCGATGAAATGCACATATGAAAAGTGGAAGTTGAAGAAAATACTAAGCGGTCGTTTTGACGGAAAAAAGACAAAAGATCAAGTGACAAATTTGCCCTGGATGAATTAATCACTGTTTTCCTCGCGGCTAGAATCGGCTGAAGGAAAATCGAGCGAGCGAAGATTTAAGGTACATTTTGTGTGTTTTTTATAGCGGAGCTCTCGCGCGCGCTTCGCGCGCGCGCAGCGGAGCACCATGGGTAAGAAAATTTGGTAAACTATCCAACCGAGAAAATTTAGTTATGACGTAGCGTACGCCCACCCGTACACACACTTCATGTAAGTCGATGTCAAATGCCACAATAGATCTTGCACAACTTGACTAGCCTCTTAGTTATGTAAGCCATCCGTATGAGTACGTTTAGATTGACAGCTGTCAAAATCAGACATCCGCTGACATTTATCACATGACCATCTCGCGGGCTCAGATGAAAGACCAGTCGTTTTGCCCCTACATATAAGCTGATATAATATGTCACACTTACCAATTCAACATAAAAACGAAACTACGCCGGGCAAGGCTGTCAATTGGCTGAAAGTCGTTTAAAGTTATATTGGGAAGCCAAATTAAGGTCAATTGCCAGCTGTCAAAATGGGACATGTGCAGACCACTATCAGAAAACTAATGGACTCAGGTTCGCTCAGGTACACGATCTGGTATTTTCCAATACATGCCGGACGGATATGTCTTACTCACACTCGTAGTCTATTAATTCGAATATTCGCCATTCTAATGAAGGTTCATTGACAGCTGTCAAACTAGAGTATAAGCTGACCATCATTACCTGAGTGTATCGCGGGCTCATTTTTCTATCCATTGAGGTCACGTAGTGTTTAAAGTTTTGCGGTGATATTTTATTTGATCACGGGCTCAATTCAAAGCCCCATAGCTTAGAAAATCTATCCAACCTAGAAAATTCGGCAATCATGTGATCGTACACCTACCACCCGACCTTCCGTCCGTCCGCACCACAGGCATACCAATGTTTAATCTCACACTTTCTAGCTAGTTTAGGAGCCTACAACCTGATATTGTACATCCATGTTTTGATTAATTGACAGCTGTCAAAATAGTAATTCTGCTGACCAGTACCGCCTGACCGTATCGCGGGCTCAGTTATCCACCCACTAAGTTCGAGTGTTTTTTTGAGTGTATGCGCTGAAAAGTTGCTACTTTTCAAATGATCGCAGGCTCAAGTTCAATCTTTTTAAAATGCGTATGTAATAAGTAGTGTTCATGACCCGGACTTTTAAAATGTTGATTTCGAACTGACCTCGGACGCGAAAATTCAACCGGCTTTTACATTTACATGCAGGGAAGGCAATCACTTTTGACTTTTTTCACTGTCACGCGTTGATCACGCTCTACGTCTTATTTTTATGTTCTGATTGGTCAAAATTTGACAGGTGAGTTCATGTGGAAAATTTATGCAGCGTCTGGTAACTTGCTTACTGATAGCTAGAGCTGACAGAGTTTTGTGTCATCTTGTGATGTTTTAAACTGTCTTTCTACTTGGTTTACAAAATGAAATACAGCTGCTTCAAGACTGTTCTGTAATTCATGGCTGGTTTGTTTATTGCGCTTTTTTTTGACAAATGCACCGCTTGTCAAAGTCATTGGAAATCCGATTTCAAATGGCATCGTTTTCAGAAATGAGATTACTCACTTGCCCTTGCTTGAGGCATAAGAGGGTTGAAAAGTCTCAAGCGATTCTGGAACACTTGATGACCTTCAGCAGTAGCATCTCGACTGGTAAGCCTGAGCAATTATTGTCTTTGATGTGTTTTTTTTTTCGGTTTCCTGAAGTCGAGCGTATGGTTTATGCGGCTTAAGCGTAAATGGTAACTCTATTAGTCGCACTGCAAATTTGGTGCCTGTCAAAAGTGAGAACCCGTCCGGCTGCCCGAAAAGTGATTTTGGGAATTTTTTTAATCGTTTTCATTAAAAGCACGTAATTATTACCCTGCATATCACATAGGACCAGAAGAGGATTCTCTTCATGAAAACGTTTTATAATATTCAATGTTATAATATGTTGTGCAAAGGAAGCGCGTGCTTTGATCGTCGTGGATATTGAATGAGTGCAAATTCTCTTTAAATTGTGAAAAACTGCAGAATTATAGGTTTAAATAGGGCAAAAAAAAAACAAATTCTGTCCGAGGTCGGTATGATAAAAAAGGGCCTCAGAGTACTGTTTACCTGAGACGTGATGAGAAAAAGTATGTTTAAAAGGCTGGTTTACACGCCACCAGATTCGTCGCCAAGATTTACTAGCAAACTAAACTTGTCGAACTTGTCCAATTATCCATAGTCTCTCTAACGGAGCAATGTAGGAGAGACTGGTGAATGCCACATTATGATGCTACAGTTAATGCAAATACAATACACGAATAGGTCTATTTGTTTTCCGGGCCTAATCCACTGTGATCGAACATGATTGCTATTTTTGGGTGTACAAATAAGACTGAAATTATTGAGCTACATTTTAAACAAAGTGAGAACCTGACAGTTTAATAAAAAGAGATTTTAGTGAATCGGAAACGGAGTTTTCAGTTTACTTACACGGGTGATCTGTGGATTACAAGTTTATTGTTATTAATTTATTAACGGGTGCTTCGCTTTTAGCCCTGGCTAAATCTATATATTAGAAGAAAAAGTCTGTTTGAAGTGTAAATTTATCAATTAGCATTGTGTTATTGACTTTTTGGTCAAGCTGGTGCTAAATGTAAGCAAATATTTTAGGAAACACGCTCAAATTCGAGACAGCTTTTTTGTGAAGTTTTCATCGCATCGATGAAACAGGCCCGGCCAGGGGGGATAGTGGGATACCCGCTATTTTGCCCCCAAGATACCAATATACCTCAAAATCGTAAAATGTGTGATACTAAATACCGAAAATTATTTTGAAACAGAATACTAAATACCTGAAAATGAACAAGTTAGAACTTAATAAGAGAGAAACTCCTGGATCACTGTTCTCTTCCGCTTCCTTTGCGGTCGGCCAGCGTCCATAGTCATCAAATCCTCGTCACCTTGTCCATCAACGCTCTCTGCAAAAGGTTCTTCATCAGCTTCATTGGGAGAGGTGGTGTCAGTGGATCTGTTCACCAAGGCCAGGAGCAGATAATACTCCCCCTCATCTATTTCAACAGTTTCATTGTCAACAACTGTAATGCTGCTTACACCTCCCTTTATGCCCTCTTTTGGGATGACATGCTCTTCTCCCGAAGTAGTGAATAGGAGAGGATCGACAACATCTTGGGTGTAACGGAGAGTTGTTACATAACGAGCACTGTCATAGTCAGCAACCACATCCTCTAATAGTTTTGTAATATATAGTGGGCTGTTTGGAGCAGAACGCAGTTTGTATATTCGGGAAACCTTCAACATACGTAGACTGGGCGATGACAATATTACGTGCTGTGATGATATCTTTGTGTTGAACGGGAATGTCTTCATTGAGAAGCACGTCAAAGTCAACTGAATGTTGCTCCGGGGGTGCAGACTCGTAGAGGTTCAATGGCAAGTTGCCTGGCTTGTCTTTTGTTGAAAAGTTCCATGTGATATTCTGTCTGACACTCTTCAGTACCATACTGCTGTACCCACTGACGGATCTCATCGGGTAACGGCTTCGGTAATTTTGCAAGGTCGTAGAAGTTTATATCAACATCACCTAAAGGAGGCTGAAGGTAGTACGAGGCCACTGGATTTGTAAAGTACCTGTAGCTCGTACCTGTGACACGTTTTAAAAATTCGTTAATACATCGGGGAAAACGCAAGCAAAAGTCGAGCATCATGGGAGTGTCCATATTACCCCCTGTCATCCTGGAAAAAGTTCCATCACCTTTGTCCTCAGTCTAGTGCGACCTTCCAGTATCATCTTCATCTACACTTATCGCATGATTTCGCTTCTTCACTTCGATAAATAAAACACGAGACTAGCACAAAGCGCACACTCACAGTTGTAGCCATGATGTTTCGGCAGACATGCGTAATGGTGCACAAAGAGCCCTGTGTGCCTTGGGTACAAGATTGCGAATCGGGAGGTGGTGCTGATGGGGGTGGGGGTCTGATGGGGATCGGGGTTTCAATTGATAAGTGCATTACGCTTCTTTCGTGCTTAGCAACCTCCCGCGTGCATCCATAACTCCATGGTTGCATGCTGCCCGTTTACCATTTCTTAAATAGCCTGCATTGCAGGGGGCCCATAGCCCCTTGTAAGATGTCAGCCACGCAATCATGATGCTGTAAATTAAAGGTAAAGGTTTAGGATTTTCTTATAATACATTTTTGAATAGCTAAAACATCCTTTCAGTAATTATAATCACTATATATATAGTAGCCTGCGCTGCAGACGAAAATAAACTCATAACGTTTATAATTTCCCTTTACTTCAGCTTGTTCACTGGGGACTTACAATGATGCAAAGCAACTTAACTGTACAGGTGTGTCCTTTGTATTGTTTTTTTTTTTTTGTTTTTGTTCTCCCGTGCTTTGATTTCGAAACGTGTTATGATCAGCCAGCTGCAGTTTTGGCAATCAATCAACCTGTCAATGACCCACTCAATCAGTCTATTATAATCAATCAATCAGCCAATCAATCAATTAGTCAACCAACCAATGAATCAACCGATCTATACATCAACCAAGTGATGAACCAATAAACAATCATTTTGAAAATAAATTTTCAAAAAATGAATTCAGGAGTTAACTTTCAATCTCTAAATAAATCAGTATCATATATTTTCATTCAGAGCTAACGCTGAAAAGTAGAAGAGAAACAATTAAGACTGTGCAATGTGAGTCTCTCACAAAGCCAACATTGTCTGAATGTCATCCTTTTATCTTTTCTTCTTCTATTTAGCCATCCCATCACACCCGAGAAATGTTATAACACTTTTTGTTAACCAAAGTTCAGCTACGATAAACTGGCTACCTCCCACTATAACCGGTGACCAGGTATTCTATGAAGTTGAATGTCGACGCACATGTGAAATTGATGGCAAGGACTGTGTTGAAGAAATCTGTGGTGGTGATGGGCATACAGGCTTGGTGTTTCAGAACAAAAGTTATGCAACTACAGTTACGATACCCAGCAAAACATTCTCCCCATCTGTGAATTATACTTGCAAGATCATAGCCAAGAACAGAGTGAGTGACTTTGCTGAAAGAAAACACAAGGTTGAAGCAAGGAGCACCACTATAACTTTCAAAACAAACGGATCTGGTAAGTAATGCCTGGGAAAGGAAAGCTCTTGAATTTCTACACTTTTTTGGAGAGTATAAGTTCTTCTTCTCATGTGTGTTGAGGCTTGACTCAACCACGAATTTAGTGGATTTTGATTTCAAGTAGAAAAATGTATCTCATCCTTGTGAAACTTGGCGTGCAGTTCCTTTCCACGTTTGCATCCAGTTGATGAGCTTTTTCATTTCATTTTGTAACGGTCAAAATGTTTCAACGAAAATGGGGATACTAACCCCAAGTGTATTCGCTTTATTTTATCACTTTTCAATAGCTCATTGCAAGGGCTTTAGAGTGCTGCCTTTTAATCATGTCCAGCTGTTATCAGAAACCGTCACTTAAGTAAAAAAAGGTCACGTGACTTAGCAAATATACTAATAACTGATAGGGTATACAATGAATACCGCGTTAAAAGGCAGAATCATGTTTAAAATGTTCTTTAGACCACTTTGACATCGAAAAGTTGCAAAGCTTTAATGTGCAAATGTACCCCATTTGAAGAAACGCGTTTTGTCACGTCATCAGGAGGAGAAAATCACGTGACTGTATATGACACTTTTGTACTATCAAAAATGTCAAATGTTAATTCTTTTACGTTTACGACTGCAACAAACTTATTCTTTCGAGCTGCAAACGTGATGTCTTAAAATTTCTCCTGGTGGTCCTTTATATTATAAAATCCAGGCTAAAACAGCTGAAATTAGGTTACCAGACGTATAGCATTTATTGTGAATAGAAATGGTGGCTGCGTTGACTTGTGGCGAACGGGTTTGCTTGAAGCTCATTGACGTCCTCCTTCGCTCTTGTGCAAATAGGTACAACCACTGCACAATGATTTGTCATAAAAGCTGAGTGGTTTATAACACTGCAAATATATATATTTTTTACTGTCATTGTTTCTGTATTTGCTTTGATTACGACAGTTCCTGGTGCACCAGAAGTGTTCGTTCAGCAAGCTGGAGGCAGTAAAATCATGTTATCATGGGACCTGAAATGCAAAAATGGCATAATTACAAAATACACAGTGGCGTATTTTATTGTGGATGACAATTCTAATAAAGAAATTTTAACTACAGCAAAGACAGAACTACGGATTGAGAAATTAGTACCAGGGAAGACATATGAATTCCAGGTAAAGCCCTCAGGTTATTGCGTAATAACCAGCCAATTTCAACAAGCAGTCAATGATGATGGCAATGGTTTGATGATAGCAATCGAATAATAGAAAAACCACGCGATTTTTGGTTGCAACGCTACTCTGGCTCCAATATTGTTAGTCAAAGATTTGAGATAATATATATATTTAGCCACAGCTAAAAGCGAAGCTCCCATTGATAAATTTATAACTTAAATCAAACAATAATTTTGTATTCCACAAATCAGTTAACGTAAGGGCACATTCATGTGACTTTTGAGGGAAAAGCTAAGTGATTTTGGAGTGAAACAAATTTTGTATCGAGTTGATATAGCCTTATATGTACACCCAAAAAATAGTCTTCGGTCACATTTAAGAGCAATGATGGCTCTTGATCACAGTAGATAAGGCGTGCAAAACAAATTCTTGGAAAACAAATCAGACCGAATTTTTTGCGTTCGACAAGTTTACAAATTCTTGCCAATAAATCTGGGTGCGTGCAAACCAATCTTTTATTTTTTTTTTACACCACATCTGAGGAGAAAGAGTACTATGAGGCGCTGTTTTTATCATACAGACCTCGTACAAAATGCAGTATTTCACAATTTTTCAAGACAAATTGCATTCATTCAATATTCAGGACCATAGAGGCACGCGTGGACTTTTAATTAGCGAAACCGTTCAAAAAATTTCCAAAATCACCTATACGGCCAGCCGGTTCTAACTTTTGACAAGCGCCAAATTTGCGAAGAAATTTTAAAAGAGTTACGCTTCAACGTGATAAAGAATTTATTGAGTCTATTTTTTATTAACGGTTTTATAACGATGTGTAATCTTAAAAAGCGTTTGATACGCCTGGCATTTTGAGTACTCCTGCGAGCGATGAACGCCTGAAAACAAACGGCAAAGCGATGAAAATTACACTTTTGAGACTACCAAAAATCAGTAAAGAAAAATAATTCGATAGAACATTTACAGAGACAACAATTTTAATTCACGAAAACAAATGAGTATTTAAGTGCGTTTAAGAATCCTCAAGTCTTTACTAGTAAGCTTAAAGTTTATGTTTTAAGCCGCCGGTTTCCCGATGTTGGCTGTTTTCAAAGATGAACTCTCGAAAAGAAAATCGTTCAAAGCTTTCTTTCTACAGCCAAAATTATAACTAAATATTCTTCGGAAAGTTTTTTCTTTCTATTTAAGGTGAATTGATATCGACTAAAGGCTTTTTAAAGTTCTGTAAGCTTAAGCTTATATCAAACCTCATACGAGGTCAGATCAGTGTCTCAGTCAAATCTTAATACGAACGTGCATAAACTAGCTTCATAAACTGCGCCGCTGGACTTTATGAAATTAGATATAAATACAACAATTACTCAGGCTTACCATATTTCGAGATGCAGCTCCTGAAAGCTGTCAAGTAAGGCAAGGATCGCTGGAGCCTTTACAATTCTCGCACGCATCCAGCAAGGTGAAAACAAAAACGATGCCATCCGAAATCGGATAATCGGCTTTGACAAGCGACGCATTTTTCAACCAAAAACCCAATAAGCAAACCAGCCATGAATAAGAGAACACTCTTAATAGCAGCTGTATTTCATTTTGTACATCCAGTGGAAAAAGACAGTTAAAAACATCACAAGTTGACTCAAAACTCTGTCAGGTTCAGCTGTCAAAGTAAACAACTTTCAAGATGCTGCATAAATTTTACGCATGAACTCACCTGTCAAATTTTAACCATATCAGAGCATAAAAATTGGACGTAGAGCGTGACCAACACGTGACCATGGTAAGAAAAGGTCTTCCCCGCCTGTATTTTAAAAAAAACTTGCTGAATTTTTGCGTCTGAAGTCAGTTTGAAATCAAAATCGTAATAGTGCGGGGCGATACTGACATAAACACAACATATTTGATACGAATTTAAAACAAAAAAAACGTGAGCCTGCGATCATTTGAAAACGAGTAAATTGTCAGCGGATAACTTCAAAAAAATACTCAACCTCGATGGGTCGACACCTAAGCCCGCGATTCGGTCAGGTGATAGTGGTCAGCGGATACCCTGTTTTGACAGCTGTCAATTGATGACGACATTGATGTGCAATCAGCTTCCTCCCGGGCTCCCAAAGTAGCTAGAAAGTGTGAGAGTAAACATTGGTATGCCTGTGGTGCGGACGGACGGTCGGTCGGTCGATCGGTCACGTGATTACCAAATTTTCTGGGATGGGTAGATTTCCTTAGCTATGGGGCTCCGCCCACGCGCGCGTGGAGCTCCGCTATGATCAAACTAAAATGCCACCCTCTGATAATAGGCTAGATGTTTATTAAACAGTACTTAAAAATTGTTTTGCATTCAAATAACTTACTTTGTTTTGCCTCTATCTATGAGGTACGCTTTCCTTTGCCTTACGGCGTGACATGCTGAGAGTGGGCTGTAATTTCAGTGGAATAAGTTCCATGTCCGCGATCGAGAGGCCAGGTTGATTAAGTGGGAAGGGACGGCTGCGGTGGCGTTTGCGTGGAGTGGATTGTTTGTTGCCTGTTTATGTTCTCCAGCTCTACCTAACATCCTTGACATACTCTGCAGGAAACAACCCATTC